GTTGTCATTAAAAAGTCTTAAAAAGTCTTTAATTTAATTTCAGTTGGCATTAAAAAGTCTTTAATTTAATTTCAGTTGTCATTAAAAAGTCTTAAAAAGTCTTTAATTTCAGTTATCATTAAAAAGTCTTAAACAGTCTTAAATTGAACTTGCTTTAAACCGTAGGAACCCTGTCTTCCTCTCCAGGTTATGTGGGCGTGGTGAACCGCAGTCAGAAGGACATCGATGAGAAAAAAGACATTAAGGCAGCTCTGGAGTCAGAGAGGCGGTTCTTCCTGTCCCACCCAGCCTACCAGCACATGGCTGAAAACACAGGGACTCCATATTTACAAAGAGTCCTCAACCAGGTTACACATGCAAACAGGAGTTTACGTTAAACACTTCTTGTGGATAAACTGACAGTATTTTGTTTGCAGCAACTAACAAACCACATCCGAGACGCACTGCCAGCCTTCCGCAGTCACCTGCAGAGCCAGCTTCTGGCCTTAAAGAAAGAGGCTGAGGATTACAGCCAGTTCCATCCAGACGACCCTGCACGCAGGACCAAGACCCTGCTGCAGTCAGTACTTCTGCCTCAGAGTACTACTGTCCTGTACTTTATGTCTTTGTCCAAGTGTGTGTGTTTGTGTTGTGCAGGGCAGTTCAGCGCCTGGCTGCTGACTTTGAGAAGTTCATTGAAGGTTCTGCAAACAAAGTAGACACAGTTCAGCTATCGGGCGGTGCTAGGATTAATAAAATCTTTCACGAGCGCTTCCCACGTGAACTGGTTCAGGTGGGTGTGTCAGATTATACGTGAAAAGTTCGATAGTTGTGTATCTCCAGTGGTGGGCAGCGCTAATCCAAAAATTAGCTCCACGATTTCTAAAGCGCTTATGAAAATATTTAGGTCCGCAAATTCAAAAACACTTATGTCATAGAATAATTAATGGAAGCTAATTTTAAAGCACAAGTTCAATTTGACACCGTATTTTTCAGACTATAAGCTGCGACTTTTTCCCTGAACTTTGAACCATGCAGCTTATAGTCCGGTGCGGCTTATATGTGGATTTTTTTCTTCAGCCACCAGGGGGCTCTTATGCTCCATTTGCTTCAACCACTCGCTTCAAAAAAAGAAGAAAAAAAAAAAGAAAAAAGCGATCGCTTCCAGAGCCGACTGTTGTACCAGGAAGCAGCGATTTAAAGATAGTCAATGGCCAAAAACTCATAAAAGGGGATAAAACTGACATTTTTCA